CTCTTCCCCCGTCGCCATTTCAGCTGTGACCAGGACTTGAGCTGTGACTGGATCAGCGCTGCAGTTGACACCTGTCACTCATGGCAGAAATTAGAATTGTTCTCAACACTTGTGATCAGGGTTTCCTCCTCCTAGTAAAATACGAAATGAATTCCGTCTTGTCCTAATACTAAATGCAATTAGGGGACCTCACTTTCTTTCTCCCTTAGATGCGCGGGCCTGCGCCGAGCCCTCGGAATAGCTAGGGAGGGGTGCGTGGGATACCCTCTGGAGGGGGCCGGCAAAAGCAGAGTGGGGAGTCGGGCATAAAGCATTAGGAGCAAGAAGACTTCAAACGCTAATAAAACCAGTGGATTAAGCAACCTGAGGTGTGTGTAGGGGGGCTCTTTGTGATTGTTTTTCTTTGTTTTATAGATTATACACTCAATAAGAAGTTGTTGAAATGCCTGAATGAATAATTTGTTGCTTTCTTATGGAAATTTGTTTCTTTTCTTATGGAAAGCAACAAATTGTCCTACAGGTATGTTCGTTAGGAACTGAGGTTAAATCTTTTGATTTCTCTCTCAGGTCTGCGTAGGATAGTGAATTAATTATCTACTGCTGTGTAACGAATTACTCCAAAATTTAGCACCTGAAAATATTACCTGTGGGTCAAAAATGTGGCAGCAGTTTGGCCGGGTGGTTCTAACTCAGGCCTTTCCTAAGGTTGCCGTCATCTGGAGGCTGGCTGGGGGGAAGTGAGCTTCCAAGCCCACTCACTTGGCTGTTGGCAGCCTTAGCTCCTCTCCATTGGGCTGCTTGATCATGGCAACTGGTTTCCTCCAGAGCAAGTGATCCCAGAAAGCGAGAGATCCCAAGACTCAAGCCCCAGTCTTGTACAGTGGTCCCTCGGTTTCCAGACGTCTCCGTTGACAAACATTTCGGTTTACAAACACTGTAAACCCTGAAGTAAATGCTTTGGTTTTCGAACACGCCTCAGAAGTCAAACATGCCACAGGGCTTCCGCTGAGTGCAAGATCCTGAGGCCTGCCAGCTGTTGATCTCTCGGTTTTCTAATGTTTCAGAACTCAAACGGTCTTCCACAACGGATTACATTAAGAAACCGGGGTGCCACTGTATAATCTAATCTTGGAAGTGGCATGCCTCTGCCATATTCTGTTGGTCACAGAGAACAATGCTGGTACAGTGCTGGAACAGAGTATGAATGAGTATAAGTCCTCCAATAATGTCGTTTTGTTGTAACGTTGATGCTGTAGGAACTTAACTCTTGTTTATATATTAACTAGGCTTCGTTCTATGTAGTTTCACTTAAAGTCGCAGAACTGATGAACAACATTAAGTTAGGGATCCCTGGGGCCATCCTGGAGGCTGGCTACTATGGATGGCTATTTTAAATATTTGCTTAATGATCCACTCTTGGAGCACACCTGGGCCAGAAGCACTGGGAGAACAAACCCTGTACCCCCAAGTCTCGTTGATGGGCAGGAGGTCAGGCCCAAGTCTAATTACTGCTGGCTGCCTTTACAGAGACAGTTCTGAGGAAGAGACAGTCTTGAAGCCATTATTATTATTATCCTCACCTGAGGGTGTTTTTCCATTGCTTTTCAGAGGGAGTGGAAGGGAGAGAGAAGCATCGATGTGAAAGAGACATCAATTGGTTGCCTCCCGCACGTGCCCCGACTAGGGCTGGGGATCGACTCTTCAGTGTGCAGACTGATGCTTTAACCGCTGAGCCAAACCGGCTAGCACAGAAGGCCTTATTATTAATTATTGAATATTTAATAAGTTTCCTTACAGCTGTAAGGGACACCAAAATGACATCACTCCCAAGGGCCTGATTTATAGTAAGCCACTTTTCCTTAGAGGCTAAGCAATATGACTTCTTTCTCTGACTGGTAGTAACATTTTCCTTGAATCTTGGCTTGCACATATGTTTTCATAACTCTGGAGAAATTTCTGTAGTGAGAAGCTAGCAAGCAGCAGAGGTGAGTCAGGACCAGTGGAAGGAAGGCTTCCTGTTGCCCTGCTTTTCCTTGCCTGGACAACCTGCAGGACAAGTAGGAATGCTGAGTGCTCTTGTCTGTCTTTAAGAAGAAGCCTGTTTTCTTGCCTCTTTGGATACTAGGGTTGTGATCCTGGATGCCTGCTTCAGAGTCAGTTCTGTGCTTGGAGAATGAGGATTTGACAGACTGCTTATGGTGCAGGGTTATTATATTACATGAGGGGAATTGCTTTCCGTGGGCCTAGGATGGTGCCATGAGCAGGGAAGCCTTGTATCTCCATCTAGAAGACACTTCTCAATGGCCTCTGGGGTGCTGGGGGTAGGGAAAGACCATATGTGATGTCCTCTCCACCCACAAAATCTAAAATCACTCAAACAATGGAGCAATGGGAGGAAGCCTTTCTATCTACCAACAGTTGCTAGGACTAATTCTTTTAGTGCCAGCTAAGCTCACCAGGCCTTCTCACAACATCCTTCATCTCTACCTAAATTGTGTGTAAACCACTGGTCCATCTCTCTTTTTTACTCTCCTCTGCAAACCACTCTGGGCTGCCTCTCCCCTGACTCAGCCTCCAAGAACTGTGTGCCTCTCAAGACTTCACATCAAGCCCTCTCAGCCCCAGTGGTGGTTAACACCCTACCCACATCCTCAGCCTCTCCACTGAACTCTTCCACCTACTTCCCGCCCCTTTAGGTCACTGCTTCCCGTGAAGTCTTTGACATGGAGGTGCCTTTTCCTCCTGTGCCCCACTTACATCAGGTTCAGGAGATAGAGGTTAGTGTCCTCTCTCTCCACTGCCTGTTATGAACCAAGTTCTGCTCCTTTGAGGCTCATGTCTTTTTATTTGTTCATTTAGCAAATATTTGAGGGCCTGCTAAGAGTCAGGCACGTTTCTAGGAACTTGAGATGGATCAACCAGTTGAACACTCCTGCCCTCATTGGATACATTTAGTGAGTACATACTATATTATGTAATAAATTCTGTGGAAGGAAGAAACAAACAGTAGGGCAGGGAGGGGAATGTTCAGGATCATGGCCATGGGGATGGGGATTCTGGTAGGCCTTATTGAGAACTTGAGATTGGAGCAGAGACTTGAAGGAAGTGAGGGAGTTTGCGAGTGAGTGGATGTCTGGAGGACTGTCCAGGTGGAGGGAAGAGCCACAGCAGAGGCCTGAAGGCACATTTTTGGTGTGTCAGGGAATAGCCCAGAGGCCAGTGCAGCTAGGGTAGAGTGAGCAATGGAAAGTCATAAGTTGAGGGCATGGCGCAGTGGGAGCAGGTTGTGTAGGGCCTGGTAGGCCACCCTGAGAATTTTAGCCTTTACTTTGAGAGCCATTGCAGGGTCTTGAGCAGAAGGTGGGCATGGTTTGGCTTGTGCATTGAAAGATTACACAGGCTGTTGAATTGAGAATCCTTTATTTGTTCTGCTGAATTAGGTTTCTTTTTAGTTAAAAGGACATAAAACCAAAGGCAAACTGGCTCATGTTGTTGAAAAGTCCCAGTTATCTGGCTTCAGGCATGGCTGGAGCTAGGTATTCAAATGATGTCGGGAATCTGCCGCTTTCCTCTTGGCTCTGCTTTCTTCTGTGTTAGCTTTATTCTCAGGCTAGTTAAGGGATATGTTTTACAAACAAGCTTCACAACTTGAGCAGAAAGAGAGCACCTCTTTCCTGATAGTTCCAGCAAAAGCTTGGGCTGGTGTCTCATAGGCCTAAATTGGGTCAGGCACCGAAACCAATCTTTGTGGGTCTGATTACCCAGACCTGACTCTGGTCCCTATCTTCAGAGCGTGGAGAAGGGAAGTTTTTGTATGTTTGTTTGTTTTAACTGTGAAATATCTATCCAAAGCATATGAAATGTATCTGTATAATCTAAAGAATAAAATGTATCTATATGGTTTAAAGAATAATAACACTGACATTCATATTCCTATCCCCCAGATTAAACTATGGGATATTACTAATATTTTCGAAGTCCCCTCGGTGCCTGAGGAGGGAAGCAAAATCAAGATGCTGGTATTAGAAGTAGGAACCAGTGGACAAGCAGAAACCACAAATGTCCCTTACAGACCTTCCACTGCCTTTTCTTCCCTGTCATTTTCTGACTTCCCTACCTCTCACTCCTACTCATTAAAATCTTGAGGACCGCTTCCCCCCCCCCCC